TTGAACTTGTCGACTGTCCTACTTTCTAGCAGTGAATATGGTAGTTTGTTCCACCCATCTATCACTCCACTCGTGAAGAAGTTGTATCTAAGGTTGAGTCGGCTCCTGGGTCTCATTAGCTTCAAATAATGCCCCCTTGTTTACTCGAGCAGTGCCTTTCAATCTAGCCCAGTTAACCCCTTCATTATTTTAAAGGTTTTAATGATGCCATCTCTCAGGCGTCTCCTTTCTATAGAGAAGAGCCCCAGGAATTCCAATCTCTCTTTGTATGAATTACCCCTCATCCCGGCGATCGTCCTAGTAGCTAACCATTGCAACGTCTCAATGCAAATGACATCTTTTATCAAGTAAGGCGCTCAAGCCTGCACGCAGTATTCTAACTGCGGTCTAACTATGGCCTTATATAGAGCTACGAAAACCTCAACTTTCCTTGACGACAGGGCCGCCTTAAGCTGGAACAACTGCCCCCTCGCTTTTTGTGCGGCAACCAGGCGTTGATCACTGGGCTTAATGTCCTCGCGGACCAAAATTCCCAGTTCCAGCATTCGGTCTATGCGATCAAAGACCGTCGGTTCTGTGGTCGTCGAACCGGAAGCCCTAGGGTATTAAGAACATGACACTTCGTAGGGTTTAGCTCGAAGTCCCACTTCTCTGCCCACCGGAAAACCTTAGCCAAATCAGCTTCCAGTTCATCTTTAGGGTCTGAGTTCACTACTTTTATGTCGTCTCTAAATATGAAGGCAAGAACCGCAAGCTCCTGGACCAAATAATTTATAAACAGCAGAAAGATCATCACGTCTAGCACTGAGCCCTGAGGCACTCCGCTGGATACGTTGCCAACGTTGGAAAAAGATTCTCCCATTCAAACTCTATAGGTCTTGTTGGTGAAAAAGCTGCTATCCATCTAATTAGAGCTTTTAGCAGACCAACTCCTCTGAGGTTTGTTGGTAAAAGCCGGCGATTTACCGAGTCAAAAGCTCTCCTGAAGTCCAGGTAGCACACTTCGACTTTCTGACCTCAATCCAACCAGCTTGTAACTTCGTCTAAGAAACAAATAACGTTGCTCAGACACGACCTCGTTTTGTGAAAGCTGCACTGGGCAGGGCTGATCAACCTCTGTCGTGTGACGTGCTCAAAGAGATTAGTCAAAAGGCAACTAGATAATGTCTGGATCAGCCTCCATCCTAACAATTTGTAGGGTGAATACTATTGACAGTAGGAGTTCGATGCTGGAAATTTTTCGAATAACTACCCTGTGCAGATACGGACCAGCTAAGGGAAGCTGTTCCGAACGAAGAAATAGGTTGTGATCAAACGGTCGACAAGAAGTCAATGCTCCAGAAGAACGTGCTTTTCACTGGAGCGAGAATTTAGACGCCCGGTTGGCGACAGCCTTTTTCATCCTGTGCAACCTGACTGACCTTGATCTGGTGCAGTCCGTTCGAAAGTTGATCCCAGCTTGCTGTCCAATTTTTCGTTAATCAATGGCCCTCACTATCGCAATTCCCTTTCTGTATATAAGAAAATCTATTTTTACTGAATTTTTAATCATGTTATAGTCCCAGCAGTAACCTCACTCACTAGACGGAGATAATTTTCCAATGCGTCAAGACGAGGCTACTCTTAGCTCGGAGCGCTCTCCAGCTGAACCATTAGAACTTATTCATGAGCAAGCTCTGGAAATAAAAGACCTGAAAGTTAGGCTGAGTATATTTGTTGACCAGCTTGCCAGCCTGGAAGCTCTGATCCTGGCATCTGTTCCAACAACTTGCGCTGCCAACACGGCTCTTAAGCTTTCGCAGCAAGAAATATTGGATGCAGCAAAGAAAGTGAAAGACAGCGAACAATGTGCCTAGCGAGTTATCCTCTGGAGGCAGCTCTCCATGTCTGACAACTTAGAAAGTATATGTAAGCCTTTTAGCTGTACCTGGCTAATCGCCAAAGTTTCACGGAGACGCTTGGACTTCCTTTTTGACGTAGGGTCTTCCAAGCTCGGCAACAACATTCTCCACCAAGCACCCAGCCTCAAACTATCCTGGTTAGGTTTGAGGGGTGTCTCCATAGATAAACCCTTGCACGTGAGACCGTCGCAGCCCAAAGCAAAAGGTCCCAAAGTTGACTCTACAGACACAAAACTATTAGGGAGCTTCTTCATTTCAGCAGTTTCGGTGCATTCAAAGATTCCTTAGTCCCAAACCTCTTCCTCAGATCCCATTCCATTAGACGAGACTGTGGTTTACCTAAACCCAATGGCCGCCAGCTCTTCAAACAACAGTCTCATAGAACAGGATCGGACTCCAATCGAGGCATCTGGGAATAAGAGACAAAAGAAGCCGAAAAACAAAAAGCAGACTAGAAACAACCTGGTCTGCACACTAGGCCAATCTTACTCTAAAAAGTGATCCTCCCACTCGCAACCAGGTGCGTTTGAACATAACGCGAAATCGGCAGGAGGCCAATAAAGGACAAACACTCCACCCATTGAATGGTCGTTCCTGCGGTGTATTCTCACAGCTCAATAACTGCAACAACGGAGCAATTTTTCAGACAAAGGGGGCAACAGGCCGGCCGCCAGCCAACTTGCTCCCTACCAGACCTAAGAACGTTAATGGATGCAAACTTAAATCTATTTCTAGCAACTACCTTATCCTTCCAACGTTCTAGGTTCCGTACGGGTCAGGCTTCTTCATTGCTAGATTTGATTATAACGAATGAAGACAATTAGATCGACGTGGCAAATCACCTTCCACCTCTCGGAAAGAGTGACCACGTAGTTCTGCTCTTTGGCTACATTACGGATTGGAAATCCAAAATGGAGTGTCCCCAAATGGTCAGATCAATCAGGCGTGCCAACTTTAGTTCCTTAAGAGAGTTTCTTAGGGAACAGTTTACCGGGCTTCCCCTGGACCTGTCCGTCGACAATCTCACAGAACATATCGAACTAATCGTCGTTCCAGCTGATGAGCGGGTCGTCCCTCGTATTCTTACCCGCTTAAGCTCTAAACCACCTCTGCCTTGTCCCATTCGCGGGCTTTTAGATGAGCGGTCTAGACTGTTTGCAAGATACAAGCAAACGGGGCTCGAAGCTGATGGACGAGCCTTTAGAAGACTCAGGAACATCTGCCGCTCAATTATTAGAGAATATAAACTGCCAGCGATACTTGAAGGGGCGCAAAATAGCACGGCCTTCTTCTGCATCTTAATCATGCATTGCGGTGAAAAAGAAACACAGCGGACAAGGCCGTATAATGCAGCACTGAGTGTGATCTGATATGAAGATCACATCAATGTAAAGATTGTCATATGAGGAACGTTGAGGAAGACACAAAACTAGAGGTAAAAATATCCGCTCGGGAGATAATGCGCGGAAACGAGTTCAGAGAATAGAAAAAGGAATGTGCACGAGAAAGCTTTAGAATGTCAGAGGAAGAGCTGCGATCGAACCAACGAAGTGTAACGGAATACGGTAGGACGACAAATGGATTATAAACAAACTGTTTTAAAAATCGTTGCAGATGGACTGGCCTCTTTAAAAAGTAGTAGGGGGCTTTAGGGCTTCACCGTTAACGGATTGACTGGTTTATATTATTTACGTTATTTAGGCGTTGGTTGCTTTGATGTGGGTCTGACTACGCGCTAAACACCTAACCTTCAAACACCTTGTAGGCGAGGCAGGGGGTGTGATCCTCAAACTGGTCCGGAATGCGGACGCATGTAGTCTAAACGCTGGATGCAACCG